CGGAGGTCCGGGGGCTGGGCCTGGTTGATGAGTGTGTCGTAGGGTTGCCAGGTGTCCGGTATTTTCGCCTCCTGGCAGGGGAAAAAAATCAGGAAATACCGGACATTTTAGGTGTCTGGTATTTTCTGAATGTTTTTACCTGACAGGAAGTGAAAATACCGGACTGTATGGGTCAATACCAGACACCTGGCAACCCTAGCAGGAGACCGTCTTCCTCTTCCACTTTTCCTCACCCCTCTGCCCCGCTATCCCTTTCCTCCCCATGTCACCAGCAGCTGAAGGCGAACCGAGACCCTCCTTCTCTTTCGGGAGCTGCAGGATGAAGCATGATGATGGGTGTGCACTAGGGCTCTGTGGGTCCCTTGCAGTGGGCACAGAGAGTTCCTGTCCGGGTGGAGCCATGCAGATGCTGCAGTGTGCGCGTGGGGTGGGGGAGAATGACAGATGTCACACATTGGTCTCTTTACTGGGCTTCTCCTCTGCAGCCCAGCCATGCCAGCACGTGCCCAGAGGACAGCTGAGACATCTCCCTACCGTTTCATCCCCATCGAGACCTTGACCTTGTGGAGGCAGGCTGGCTCCAGTGGGCCACAGATCCCAGAGAGGCCGGCAAGGAGAAGGCAGTCCCAGTCCGTGAGGTACTGGCCAGCAAGAGGCTGCCTGGGGGTGCACAAGCTGGTAGCACTGGCTCATAGGGGTCAGATATGACGCTGAACTGGGAAAACTGGTCTCTGTTCCTATCTCTATCACTGTCCTATTGACAGACCTGAGGCATGTAACTTCCTTGCCCCGTGCCTCAGTTTCCCCTTCCACCCATTCTCTTTGGGGCAGGGGCTCTTTCTGTGCAACACGGGTGATGGGGAAACTGGTCTCTGTTCCTATCTCTATCACTGTCCTATTGACAGACCTGAGGCATGTAACTTCCTTGCCCCGTGCCTCAGTTTCCCCTTCCACCCATTCTCTTTGGGGCAGGGGCTCTTTCTGTGCAACACGGGTGATGGGGAAACTGGTCTCTGTTCCTATCTCTATCACTGTCCTATTGACAGACCTGAGGCATGTAACTTCCTTGCCCCGTGCCTCAGTTTCCCCTTCCACCCATTCTCTTTGGGGCAGGGGCTCTTTCTGTGCAACACGGGTGATGGGGAAACTGGTCTCTGTTCCTATCTCTATCACTGTCCTATTGACAGACCTGAGGCATGTAACTTCCTTGCCCCGTGCCTCAGTTTCCCCTTCCACCCATTCTCTTTGGGGCAGGGGCTCTTTCTGTGCAACACGGGTGATGGGGAAACTGGTCTCTGTTCCTATCTCTATCACTGTCCTATTGACAGACCTGAGGCATGTAACTTCCTTGCCCCGTGCCTCAGTTTCCCCTTCCACCCATTCTCTTTGGGGCAGGGGCTCTTTCTGTGCAACACGGGTGATGGGGAAACTGGTCTCTGTTCCTATCTCTATCACTGTCCTATTGACAGACCTGAGGCATGTAACTTCCTTGCCCCGTGCCTCAGTTTCCCCTTCCACCCATTCTCTTTGGGGCAGGGGCTCTTTCTGTGCAACACGGGTGATGGGGGAGGGGGGATTGAGCCCTCCAGGCACCGGAACAGTAATGAGTGTAGGATAAATACAATCTGTGAGTGGCAAAGGCTGGAGACGGAGAGACTGGGCCCCAGAGGCAAGACAAATGAGAGGAGATGGGAGAGCAGCCAGGGAGAGACCCTGGGCCTAGCCTCAGAGTTTCTGCTTATGGGGAACTTCTGATTCTGGTGCTACTGACCTGTCTCCCCTTGAGTGCAAAGCAGGGATATGAAACTTAAAGGGCTTGTCCACGCTGCGCTGCCTTCATTCTAGAACCAGCTCCTACCATAGCACTGACACTGACAGTCTGCGCGCCTGCCACACAAACCTACTGGCAACAATCAAGTCTCTTGCGGGCTTCATGGGGCCTCGGATGCTGCTCCGTTCTCACGATCAAAACTCTGTTGGGGCATAGATCTGCTTAGACATTATGAATATCCCTATTACTGTTGCTTAGGTGGGGTATGAAGGTGGAAGGGGGGATGATGTTAGGACCCTGTTCTCTCTAAACTGAGTGCTTGGGCGACCACCAAAGAGAGATTTAAATGCCACCCAGCTGACTGGGAGAGCACCTACAGCCAGCAGCAGCTGGTAGCAAGTGTTTCTATTGGCGGTACATAGCCACAAATGGCTCAGTGCACATAACAAAATGTATGCTACGCATTGATGGAAAAAATGAGAGGGAACATTGGATGGGATTTGCACTGTGGAAGGGGGGGTCAGCTAAGAGGGCAGCTTAAGGGATGGGAAGAGTTAGACGGGTGGGTGGAGCTAAGGGAGTGGGCAGAGCTGAGGGGTGGGCAGAGTTAAGGGTGTTTGAAAGAGTTTGGGATGTACTGTGAAGAGTGCTGGTGTGTCTGTATATTCCCCACTTGTACACAGTGCTTTGGGTTTCCGAGAGCATCCTCACGGCCTGTGCCAGGAGATTCCTTTGCTTGCTCCTGGTGCTAGACTATCACTAAATGCCTTCCATCTGCCCCCAGGGTGGATGTGTCCCGGGACCAAGTGGAGCCGCGTGGAAGGAGTATGCTTCCAAGACGATGCTGCACCTACTACAAAGTCAGCGTCTCCATCCCCACCTACAGCGTCCCTCCATCCAAGCCCAACCTGGCCTCCAACTCCATCTACCATTCCAGTTCCAAGGACAGCCGCTCAGACATCTCCAGCATCACAAATGCTCCATCGCATGGCAGCAGAAGCCCTGACATTGCTTTCCTGAGGCCGGTACCACTGCTGTCCCTGAAGCAACCCTTGCCGGGCTGCAGGAGCCAGCACGCCGCAGGGCCTGAGGCAGCATACTATTACCACCCCCCCCAGAAGGGGCTGCTGCCTCCCAGTTGCTTCCCAGCTGTGGAATACATGTCTGGGAGGGAGTTCTGCCAGGGCTACCCCTCCCCGTGGGCTGGCAGCTCAGCTCCAGCCCCCTATGAGCAGGACAAGGTGCAGCTGTACTGCCAGGGGTGGGGCCCAGCCCAAAGCAAGATCATGTGCACCCCGTCCCTCAAGGACCATGCCCTAGGCAGTGGCAGGGCCCTCTCCAAATTGTCCGTGTCAGAGGAGCTGAAGTTGTGGCATGAGCGGACCAAACTGCGGAACGTGCGACCCCACTCGCTGGAAAGGGAGAGGGCTTTCCACACGCGGAACATGCTGTGACAGGTTGGGGACACGGAACGCCCCTGGGGAGGGGGAGACCCGGAGTGCTGTCATAACCACTGACACTCGCCTTCCTGCTCTCTGTGGCTTCTCACTGCCTCGTCCTGCTGGGCCAGCTCCCGGGTCTCCCCCAGGCAAGGCCTCAAGCTGAGATCAATGCCCTGCCCCAAGAAGCAGTACAGACACTGAGCCTCTTCGGGTCCAAGGAAAATGCAGTTTTGGGCCCAGCTTCCTGGGATACCATTCCCCAAATGGGAGCAGCACCCCAAATGAATTATTTAGGTAAGCCCCCTTTAGCACTGAAAGGAGGAGGGACACACTGATTGCTCCCCCAGGTAACAATTATTTGTACTGGGTTTGACAGTAAATAAAAGGGATTTTATTAAGTACAAGCAGTAGGATGTAAGTAGTAATAAGTGAGAACAGACAGAGCAAAGTAGATTACAAACTTAAAATAACAGGGAACACGAACACTAAAACCTCAGTACAAACGTATTACAAGCTCACCCTAAAACTGTTCCTGTTCCAGCTAAGCCTTCCAACCAGGGAAGTTCCTCCCCCTGGGGTCTTTGGATCCCTTTCTTGGGAATGCCCCAGCCAAAGGACAAAGAAACGTCTGAGCGTCCTCTTGTTTTATGGATTCCCTTTTACATGAGGAAGTCACCTGGCCAGTCCCTACAAGTTAGGGAGGTTATGTGACCAACCACTGCTGAGCTTTAAAGGCCAAAGGAGATTGTTCACAGCTGGTCATCTAGACATTGAGAGTAACATCCGTGATGGGGTTTCCTGTGCACAGTTAAAACCACACGGCATTCCATACTCCATATAGCTAACTTTACACACAAGAATGATCCACCCACGAAAATCGATACACAGACCCAGCGGATTAAGACATTGATAGGTTACATGAGACCATTGCCCCAAGCATCGTTGAGTTCTGTATATTTGTGTCCATAAGTCCATTTCATAAAGTGTGTGTGTGTGGGGGGGGAGGCTGTCACACACACCAGGCAGGGAGCCATCCACCTCGTGCGCCACTGGGCAGCAGGCTCAGGTGGGGCTCACGGGTGATGGGGAAACTGGTCTCTGTTCCTATCTCTATCACTGTCCTATTGACAGACCTGAGGCATGTAACTTCCTTGCCCCGTGCCTCAGTTTCCCCTTCCACCCATTCTCTTTGGGGCAGGGGCTCTTTCTGTGCAACACGGGTGATGGGGAAACTGGTCTCTGTTCCTATCTCTATCACTGTCCTATTGACAGACCTGAGGCATGTAACTTCCTTGCCCCGTGCCTCAGTTTCCCCTTCCACCCATTCTCTTTGGGGCAGGGGCTCTTTCTGTGCAACACGGGTGATGGGGAAACTGGTCTCTGTTCCTATCTCTATCACTGTCCTATTGACAGACCTGAGGCATGTAACTTCCTTGCCCCGTGCCTCAGTTTCCCCTTCCACCCATTCTCTTTGGGGCAGGGGCTCTTTCTGTGCAACACGGGTGATGGGGAAACTGGTCTCTGTTCCTATCTCTATCACTGTCCTATTGACAGACCTGAGGCATGTAACTTCCTTGCCCCGTGCCTCAGTTTCCCCTTCCACCCATTCTCTTTGGGGCAGGGGCTCTTTCTGTGCAACACGGGTGATGGGGAAACTGGTCTCTGTTCCTATCTCTATCACTGTCCTATTGACAGACCTGAGGCATGTAACTTCCTTGCCCCGTGCCTCAGTTTCCCCTTCCACCCATTCTCTTTGGGGCAGGGGCTCTTTCTGTGCAACACGGGTGATGGGGAAACTGGTCTCTGTTCCTATCTCTATCACTGTCCTATTGACAGACCTGAGGCATGTAACTTCCTTGCCCCGTGCCTCAGTTTCCCCTTCCACCCATTCTCTTTGGGGCAGGGGCTCTTTCTGTGCAACACGGGTGATGGGGAAACTGGTCTCTGTTCCTATCTCTATCACTGTCCTATTGACAGACCTGAGGCATGTAACTTCCTTGCCCCGTGCCTCAGTTTCCCCTTCCACCCATTCTCTTTGGGGCAGGGGCTCTTTCTGTGCAACACGGGTGATGGGGAAACTGGTCTCTGTTCCTATCTCTATCACTGTCCTATTGACAGACCTGAGGCATGTAACTTCCTTGCCCCGTGCCTCAGTTTCCCCTTCCACCCATTCTCTTTGGGGCAGGGGCTCTTTCTGTGCAACACGGGTGATGGGGAAACTGGTCTCTGTTCCTATCTCTATCACTGTCCTATTGACAGACCTGAGGCATGTAACTTCCTTGCCCCGTGCCTCAGTTTCCCCTTCCACCCATTCTCTTTGGGGCAGGGGCTCTTTCTGTGCAACACGGGTGATGGGGAAACTGGTCTCTGTTCCTATCTCTATCACTGTCCTATTGACAGACCTGAGGCATGTAACTTCCTTGCCCCGTGCCTCAGTTTCCCCTTCCACCCATTCTCTTTGGGGCAGGGGCTCTTTCTGTGCAACACGGGTGATGGGGAAACTGGTCTCTGTTCCTATCTCTATCACTGTCCTATTGACAGACCTGAGGCATGTAACTTCCTTGCCCCGTGCCTCAGTTTCCCCTTCCACCCATTCTCTTTGGGGCAGGGGCTCTTTCTGTGCAACACGGGTGATGGGGAAACTGGTCTCTGTTCCTATCTCTATCACTGTCCTATTGACAGACCTGAGGCATGTAACTTCCTTGCCCCGTGCCTCAGTTTCCCCTTCCACCCATTCTCTTTGGGGCAGGGGCTCTTTCTGTGCAACACGGGTGATGGGGAAACTGGTCTCTGTTCCTATCTCTATCACTGTCCTATTGACAGACCTGAGGCATGTAACTTCCTTGCCCCGTGCCTCAGTTTCCCCTTCCACCCATTCTCTTTGGGGCAGGGGCTCTTTCTGTGCAACACGGGTGATGGGGAAACTGGTCTCTGTTCCTATCTCTATCACTGTCCTATTGACAGACCTGAGGCATGTAACTTCCTTGCCCCGTGCCTCAGTTTCCCCTTCCACCCATTCTCTTTGGGGCAGGGGCTCTTTCTGTGCAACACGGGTGATGGGGGAGGGGGGATTGAGCCCTCCAGGCACCGGAACAGTAATGAGTGTAGGATAAATACAATCTGTGAGTGGCAAAGGCTGGAGACGGAGAGACTGGGCCCCAGAGGCAAGACAAATGAGAGGAGATGGGAGAGCAGCCAGGGAGAGACCCTGGGCCTAGCCTCAGAGTTTCTGCTTATGGGGAACTTCTGATTCTGGTGCTACTGACCTGTCTCCCCTTGAGTGCAAAGCAGGGATATGAAACTTAAAGGGCTTGTCCACGCTGCGCTGCCTTCATTCTAGAACCAGCTCCTACCATAGCACTGACACTGACAGTCTGCGCGCCTGCCACACAAACCTACTGGCAACAATCAAGTCTCTTGCGGGCTTCATGGGGCCTCGGATGCTGCTCCGTTCTCACGATCAAAACTCTGTTGGGGCATAGATCTGCTTAGACATTATGAATATCCCTATTACTGTTGCTTAGGTGGGGTATGAAGGTGGAAGGGGGGATGATGTTAGGACCCTGTTCTCTCTAAACTGAGTGCTTGGGCGACCACCAAAGAGAGATTTAAATGCCACCCAGCTGACTGGGAGAGCACCTACAGCCAGCAGCAGCTGGTAGCAAGTGTTTCTATTGGCGGTACATAGCCACAAATGGCTCAGTGCACATAACAAAATGTATGCTACGCATTGATGGAAAAAATGAGAGGGAACATTGGATGGGATTTGCACTGTGGAAGGGGGGGTCAGCTAAGAGGGCAGCTTAAGGGATGGGAAGAGTTAGACGGGTGGGTGGAGCTAAGGGAGTGGGCAGAGCTGAGGGGTGGGCAGAGTTAAGGGTGTTTGAAAGAGTTTGGGATGTACTGTGAAGAGTGCTGGTGTGTCTGTATATTCCCCACTTGTACACAGTGCTTTGGGTTTCCGAGAGCATCCTCACGGCCTGTGCCAGGAGATTCCTTTGCTTGCTCCTGGTGCTAGACTATCACTAAATGCCTTCCATCTGCCCCCAGGGTGGATGTGTCCCGGGACCAAGTGGAGCCGCGTGGAAGGAGTATGCTTCCAAGACGATGCTGCACCTACTACAAAGTCAGCGTCTCCATCCCCACCTACAGCGTCCCTCCATCCAAGCCCAACCTGGCCTCCAACTCCATCTACCATTCCAGTTCCAAGGACAGCCGCTCAGACATCTCCAGCATCACAAATGCTCCATCGCATGGCAGCAGAAGCCCTGACATTGCTTTCCTGAGGCCGGTACCACTGCTGTCCCTGAAGCAACCCTTGCCGGGCTGCAGGAGCCAGCACGCCGCAGGGCCTGAGGCAGCATACTATTACCACCCCCCCCAGAAGGGGCTGCTGCCTCCCAGTTGCTTCCCAGCTGTGGAATACATGTCTGGGAGGGAGTTCTGCCAGGGCTACCCCTCCCCGTGGGCTGGCAGCTCAGCTCCAGCCCCCTATGAGCAGGACAAGGTGCAGCTGTACTGCCAGGGGTGGGGCCCAGCCCAAAGCAAGATCATGTGCACCCCGTCCCTCAAGGACCATGCCCTAGGCAGTGGCAGGGCCCTCTCCAAATTGTCCGTGTCAGAGGAGCTGAAGTTGTGGCATGAGCGGACCAAACTGCGGAACGTGCGACCCCACTCGCTGGAAAGGGAGAGGGCTTTCCACACGCGGAACATGCTGTGACAGGTTGGGGACACGGAACGCCCCTGGGGAGGGGGAGACCCGGAGTGCTGTCATAACCACTGACACTCGCCTTCCTGCTCTCTGTGGCTTCTCACTGCCTCGTCCTGCTGGGCCAGCTCCCGGGTCTCCCCCAGGCAAGGCCTCAAGCTGAGATCAATGCCCTGCCCCAAGAAGCAGTACAGACACTGAGCCTCTTCGGGTCCAAGGAAAATGCAGTTTTGGGCCCAGCTTCCTGGGATACCATTCCCCAAATGGGAGCAGCACCCCAAATGAATTATTTAGGTAAGCCCCCTTTAGCACTGAAAGGAGGAGGGACACACTGATTGCTCCCCCAGGTAACAATTATTTGTACTGGGTTTGACAGTAAATAAAAGGGATTTTATTAAGTACAAGCAGTAGGATGTAAGTAGTAATAAGTGAGAACAGACAGAGCAAAGTAGATTACAAACTTAAAATAACAGGGAACACGAACACTAAAACCTCAGTACAAACGTATTACAAGCTCACCCTAAAACTGTTCCTGTTCCAGCTAAGC